GACAAGGGCAACCAGCAGCGGTGTAAGAGAATGCAAAAAATGTTGAAAATTACGAGTAATACGTGGACAAATTGCGTACGGCACAGCAGGTCCTGCATACTCTTTGTTCTCCTGGCTGTCATTTCACTTTGCATTTTAAATCAGCATTTGTTTTTTAGTCGCATTCCGAGCGTGCTACTCATGTTTCTTTTATTTGATATGCATTAAAAACTTTTCAACTTATTTATATAATTTTTCATGGGAATTTCACCTTTTGAAGTTCGGATATGAAATGCGTAATGATTTTTTCATTGCTGTTAAATAAACAATTGAGCGGGGGAGTTGCCAAACTTTTCCACCTGGGGATACCTGGGGATACCACAGCCCCGAGGACCCCTCATTTATTATACACTTAGCCGGATGAGAAGGCACCCAAGGCCGGTTGCGTGTATGGGTCTAATCAAATTCTGTCATTTAATTTGGGCAACTTACGGGGCATGAAGGTTAAATGTTGCTAATGCGAAGAGGCTCGGAAAACCACTGGGGTGACCATTAGGCATTTAATTCATGGCCGAAGTCTCAATACACGCAAAAATAATCATAAATCTTTGGCTAATGTGATGTGAATGTTATCCTTTCACTTTTATTTAGTGAGCCTTACAGTCTAAGCCTTTCGAAAGAGCTTGTTAGTATCGGAACTCAGCGTTTGGTAATCCTTTTGCATTTGGGCTTTATTTACCGAAAGGCTTAGATTACAATTTATTAAGATACCCCATTAATTCATGCAACTTATTATTCTGTACAATTTCTTTAACCTACTTGAAGATAAGTTCCATTTTCACCCTTCTTAATTTGGCTTTGAAATCTATCGTCAATTAAGAAGGCAATCCATTCAAACGAAATGCATTGTATTAAATCAAACTGATTTCTCAATTTATCGTATTATGTATAAATATTTAACTACTTGTGTTAAATAGCCCTCATTTAAAGGTTCCCCAATCCGTGCTTGTTTATTTATATTCTGCGAGGGCTAAAATATTGGCCGATCATCCGCATGGCCCGTAAGCTGCCTAATTATTTTAGTTTTCAGCGTGAAAGGGTACCCTTTGCATACGTGTATGCAGCGGGGATTTGGAATTGGCTCACCTTTGTGCAGCTTTTCAATAAATGCCCGGTCTGGCGGCCTCAGAAAAAGATATCCAAAACACGTGACAGATTTGCCCGGATTACATACGCATTACACACACACAGGCGGAACATCACTACCACACAGCCACCGCACTACACACCAGCGAGTGCGTGTGAGAATATCTGTGGATTAACTCCAAAGGAGGCGCACAATTCAATTATGTTTTGTTGCTACTTCTGTTGGTATCCTCGAGGATGCACTGCGAGAACGAGAACGGGAACGGGAACGTCGCCCGGATCGCGTGTTACAAATCAAGCATACGCCTGGGCGCCACACAAATCAAGCATACGCCACCGAGACGCACCACCGACGCACGACAGTCACGGCTGGAGTCACAGTCACAGTTTTGGGTCACTCTCACTGGCAGCAGCGGCACACACTGAGCGGCAGGCACAACTGAAGCCCACGACAACGGCATTCGAAGTGGCGACGGGTGAGTTCAGCAGTCACGACAACCCCGCAAAAGCTCAACCAACTCGCGGCCAAAGCCGAGCCAGCCAGCTCGGAAAGCCAGCTCGGCGGTCTAAGAGACTCGAACTCTCTTCGGAGGAGAGGCCTTTGGGTGCGACTGCCGGTGGACATGGCGGACATGCGCAGTGGGGCATTCACCAACCGGCCAGTTGCCCCACTGGCTCTTCCAGTGCCTTACTTATCCCGTGGATGTGTCCCAAACAAACAGCAACAGCTGTTCCGCCTGGCGGGGAAGACCCAAAAAGCTGTCCTCCTGGCAGTCGGCTGCTCTGACGCACGCTCCCGATACTCCTCGATTTCGGGCTATATGTGTGGCGCTTGGCGTGTCTTAGGTCAGAAACGTCGGCCTCCGAAGTGGGCGTGGGTGTGGGCGTGGGCGTGGGTGTGGGTTTGGTGGGAGAACCTTTGCCGGTGTTGGCAGAATTTTTAATTATGATAAATGCCCATTCATAAAAATGAGTGGCATACATTTGCGTTGCGTGTTTATTTTTATACTTCGTATATTTGGTATATTCTGCATAATTATTATTGCCATTATATATCTCCTTTTTAATATCTCCATTGTCTTCTTCAGCGCACTTTTTTGTTTTTATTGTTTCTTTTTTGTTTTGCTGTCACTAATTTGTAAGCTCCATCTTTGATGGCTTCTCCCCTTCTGTTTGCACTTGACAGCCCAAGATTTATGCGACTGCAGTTGGTGGTGATTGCTGGGAATTGGTAGTGGGATGCGGAAATGGTGGGTGTTAAGTGGCCGGGAATAAGGGATGGCCCCCTGATGATCGACTGCCGGCTGCAGGTGTTGATGGCTCAGATGTGCCTCAATCACCATCAGCGTCGGTTAATAAAATCACAGGACGCCATTTGATGAATGGTTGCAAATCTTGCCTCTGACATTTTTGAGGGGCAACCGGTTATTCGACTATTAACCAAACACAGGGCAACAATTAATTGGCTGGTGGTTAAACAACACTTTGGGCTTTCGTTTAGCCCATTGAACTCTTCCAATACTCGAAATATATAAAATATATATTTCATAGCTTAAATCCCTAAAGGCCTAAATTTAGTTTATTAGAGAGGAAACGCCAGATCCGAGCCCCTTTCAAAGAACCTTGAAGGAATTTCCCTCTAAGGTGAGAGCATTGTTCCTATAAAGCATGGTTACAAATAGGATTGGAGTATGTAAGGCCCAAGAGACTCCATCTCAATGCAATGTCCGACCACTCGGCAAAAACCAAATTGACCAAAGTTAATTTAACCACTGTAAACAAGCCGGGACTCAAGTACCTGGGCACTTGAAATGCTTCGCTGGCCACGAGCAGAGAATAAGGTGCAAAAAAGGACTTATCGGGGGGAAAGGGGAATGAGAATCGGGGGGTGCTGCAACATACGTATACGTACTGTACTGAAAATCAATTGAAGCGCCAACAAACGCTTCAATCAATTTTACTTTGGCAAACATTGAGTGCAAAATAAATCACAGCACCGACTAGAGACGGCGGTGGACTCTTCCTCCAGAATACCAGAATCCTGGATATCCATCTTGGGAAAAGAGGAACACTGCATCCTACCGCCCACCGAGATCATCCTTGTGTTTATCTTATTTATGCAAAGCTGTGGCAAACACCAACAATAACAAGCCAGGATGTGCGGCGAAGGCAGCTAAAAAATGAATGAATTCAATGAAATCTGGGTAAAAAAGCTGGGGAACTGGAATGATGCAGCGGGAGAGACTCCAAAAGAGTGCAAGAACTGCAACAAACCGATGGGCGATGTGCGAGTGGGTTTGTGTGAGGACATCATGCTTCTTAGAGGCACATCAAACATCTCAAACGGAATGAATAATTTATAGACGCAAAAGACGGAAGGAGGAGACAGTCGCGTAAGCCATCTGCACTGCGATTTCTCACACACGCAGGGGCGTAGATGGATTCTTTTCGAGGGTATCGCTATAAACATGTTAAAAACACATATTTTGAAACCGAAAAATACGAAAACGGTTAAGGGCTTTAATGGGCATTAATATAACCAAGCAACGAATTTATCACTACTAAACTTGGTATGCAGCCAGAAAAGACGCAAGGTTGTTGGTTAAGTTGCGTAAAAAGTTACATAAAGAAGAAAGTGCGGTGCTCCTCAGCCCCCCTACAAAACCCTGTGTGCGCCCCTGCCTCCGAAGGCACCTCTGCGGAAGCCACGCATTAGTTGGCACACACCTTGCATTCATGGACTTCAATGCGACTGGCGAAATAAAATGGCAATGCCAATGCAGAATGTAAATGCCAGCCCGAAGTGCTCGGATAACTTTGCATTTATTTTCATTTCATTTTTGCACCGGCTCTCGCTGTGAAGTATGCAGCATAATTCCCGCAAAGGAAACTTATTTCGAGCACAAAGCAGCCAAGTGTCAGTGATGCACTTGCAGCATTCCATATTTACGGGAAAGTCAGGTTTACGATTGCCGTTCAGCCAGCAGTCCAAATGCGATTAGCACGTTATCAAATTCGCTTTCTGTCCCAACCTGTGTATATACCAGCCGCGTCAAACGAAAAGTTTAAATAAATGACTGCGAAAACTTTGCCCATCTGATGGAAAACAAGCGGGCACCAACATGGCGGCGTGGAAACTCAGCCAAAAATCAGTGCTGTTGACTTTGATGCTGGTTAGACCGCACTGAAATTCGTCAATTCTCGCAATGCCACCTAAGAATCAAGGCTAAACACTAAACAACGCCTCGTGGTAAATATTAATTTAACTTTGCACATTAGCCGAGCAATGACACTTGACTGCGTGGAACCTGTGGCACCACACAGCGCTCGGAACTGGCCACAAATGTTGGTGCCACACTACACCCCCACCGCCCCCGCAGCACTCACCTCCCGGGGGTTAACCTCAGTTATTTGTCTATTTGCCTATGCGAAATTTGATGCGCTGTCTGCTTGCCTGTTTTTTCACTGGGTGGCGATGCTCGCAGTGTCTCTGCTGTTCTGGTCCTCATTATCGTAAATTTTTATGCTAAATACATTTTGTTGTCGGACCCAAAAATACAAACACCAAAACCGAAAGCGACATAAAGAAAGCGACGTTCGCTGACCGTCAAAATTGGGATACTCTTTGATAAGTAAACCGAATGCAAAAAGGTATTGATAGAAATAATATTTACTGTAAATTTCACAAAAACGTTACATTTACCATTTCTTACATATATAGCGTACAAAATATATATATATATAAATTAGAACATTCTGTATATAAGTTGACTTTGTTGGCCTGCAGGATGCCGGAACACATTGCTTGTAAGAAAATACATGCCCTTCCTAGTCAAATGCTCATTTGAGTACCACCATTTGTGGCAGCTGCCGCCACGTGGACCCGACTCCTCCGATGACCAACATAATCATGGAACTCGCATATGGAAAGCCGGCCGTGGATCCTGACAAATTGAACAATTTAAAGAGGGCTTTGTGGGTTTATTGTGGATGAACTAAGTAGGTTCAATGTTGCCGACTTGAAGTGAACCAAAATGAAGATTGCAAAAACATCAAGTTATTAAAGGTCTGAACGAATGGATACAGAGGAATTTTTTAGGTTCTGGAAGATTTCACGTTTCTTGTTAGTTATCACGTTTGACAGATGATCCTGCAAATCTTCAGCGCACTTTTTCAAAGAAATTGTCACCCTAACGGCTTGTTTCCGAAAAGGTATGTATTCCTCCTTAATTATCTGCTTTTTGAGGTGAGTTCTTATCATTTCATTACTTTTAACTACATATTCTTCGAAGTCCCTGCCACCAAACTTATCTTGGTTCAAGAACCTAAACCGTTGACGACATAGTCCTTGATGCTTTTCGAACTTGAGCTTAAAGGAGTCTAGTTTGTGAATGCCAATCTCCAACTGATCCCCTAACTTCAGGCTTCTGCAGTAGTCATCCCGTGCCATTTGTTTGGCCAGATTGGATGATTTTGCGACGGATTGCATCTGAGTCAGCTGCTGCTCTAGTTTATGGTTCGCAATCTTTATCGGAAGAATATCGGGGTGCATTTGTTGAGGATTCATCAAAAATATATGATCGGCCTGGCAGAGATCGATGTTTGGGCATTCTGGTATATTGGTATCAAGTTGGTAATTCAGTCGACTTATGCGCCGCTTTAAGCGAAACACCTCGTCGTAAATATCATCCAGTTCCAGATGGCTTTTCTCGTGTGATTCCTCCAGCACTTCCTCACTGGCATAGTAATCTTGGGATTGCAAGTCCCACTGCTTCTCGCAATGGAACACTTTTTTTGGGCCAGCATGTATGAGTGCCAACGTTAAGGTCCTTGACTGTGCCACTTTCCTGTCATTCTGTTTAGTGTTTTCCGTTTTACCTATTCCTGCTGCCTTGCATGATAAAAATGGCAATTTTGGTCCAGCGATTGCACTATTGGAAATGAATTCTTCTCGATCCATTGAAACTAACCAATATCCAATTAACAGAGAACGTCAGAACGGAAACGAACTGGGTCCACAATGAGCAATTGTAGTATTTCGATGTGATCTAACACAAATTTCTATGAAGACTTAGATAAGAGAACGCATATATCGACCTGTAAGTTGGTGCGGTGAATCTTATTTGTATTTATTCACTTTCCAAGACTGCCACTAATTTGTAAGGAGCCAGTTTGCAGGCAATGTACAGTTCACACTAAACGACATTAGCAACTGCACTCAATCTCAGCTGAACCATTCAAGTTACTTATGCTAACCAAACTTGCACTGAGGGAAAAAACACAGACTGTGATGTTAGTCATCATTTTAGTAAGTGCCGAAATAGATTATAAAATAAGGTAACACCATTTTTACTAAAGGGGTTAAAATTAACTTTTACAAAAATTTAGAACTCGTTTTTTTGAACAAATAAATATACAAATTTTTACAGTGATAGCTACTCACTTCGCACAAACGAAGACGCACTGCGAAATCCGCACAATTCGTTTTAATGGAATTCCTAATCCGAGCAGCAAACAAGCTTAATGTGAACTTGAATTACAAAACATAAAGACGGAATACAGTTGTCATTGAAACAAGATTCTTGACGTTGAAGTTGGCTTCAAAATGATGAGAAAAATGTAGTAAAAAAAATATGTAAGCTCACATTATTGGATAGATACCGTGAAAGGCAGACGCGTTCCTTTGCCTTGAATGACAGCGGAAAATGAAGTAAAATCTAATTAAAACCCCTTGCTAAAATCACAATTGTCAGCGTAAACTCACGCACACCTGCTCACAGAACTCACGAGCACACAAACACTGACACAGACAGATGGACAGACACCGGCGATTTCCCATACGCAAACAAATAGAGGATCCCGAATCCGATTCTGGGCCAGAGTGGGGCGGTCCGGTCCTGGCAGGTGAAAAACAGACGTCAGCTGTCCAACTACCCGAATGCGGAATCTGGCGAAAACAGAGCAAAACTTTTGACCAGACAAAAAAAGGCAAGGCGAACTGTTCACGGCTTTGGAAGCCTCCACTGCTTAGTGATGCCAAAAAGGACCTATGGCAGATCTCAATGGGTACAGAATGGTATGATATTGCAGCCATTACAAGTGATTATCAGGAGAAATAAGACAATTGTGTAGAAAAACCATGCCCCTTTAAAATGGATCCTTCTCACCTATGAATCTTTGTCCATCTCTAGCTATCAGTTTATTATTTTAATAATGATGTTTGCAGTTAACAGAAACAAATGTTTATGCTTATGTATATTTAAGAGCAATTATTCGAAATTTCATAATTTGATTGAAAATGTTGGAATTGCGCAGCTTTGACAACATAGTATCTCATTTTTTTTGCAATTTTATGCACTTTATTGATATTTTAAATGTGTATCATAATGCGGCTTTTCACGCATAATTAGCTGTTTTGCCTTTTATACGGTTTCTGGTTAGAACTGTGGCATCTCCGATTTGAATCTGGATAATGCCACGGGGTGTGGGGCAGATAACCTCCAGGAGCGAATAAAACGCGCTGTTGCACACGAAAAATAACAAGCTGCGTTGGTCAATTCATCGAATGTCGGTCAGGGCTGCCACCGGTGGGAAAGTGGACTGGGCAGTGGGCAGACGGAAGCTGGAGCCCGGAGCACGGAGCACGGAGGAGGGCCAGACCACCTGGCAGGTGGACCTCATGCAAGGGGCGACATAAAAGTTTCGCACCCCGGCATTTGGGCATCATTGTCCAGCCGAGCCGGTGGGCCGGACTTGCTGTGTTTGGATTAAAAGAAATTAGTTTACTTATGCCAATGCTCCCTGGGCTACGCCATTGAGGCATCGGCCAGGCAGGAGTGGGACAACTTGGTGCCGGTGTCAGGAGGCAGCTCGGATGGATGAATTGCACTTATTATGCAGGTTTCCCTTCCAATTTGAGTGTGTGCCTGTCCTGGAGTGCCTGGAATTTCAGAAAGAAAGAAATGTTTTGCGTTTTGCTCTTCTGATGTCGTTTAACCATTATGTGGCATGAGTTTGCCATTTTCATTTAAATGGTTCTCTTGGCAGCGAGTCAACTCGTTGGCTTTTTTGCGATTGCTCTGCCTTTGTTACCAGCAACGTATAATTCCTGGGAATTTTAGATTGGTTTGGTCTAAAAGTATGCAAAACTAGTATAAAAGTGCAATAAAAGGGGGGAATATAAAGCACTTCTCACAATCTGTTAAGCGCTGAATCGAAGCTGCTTGTTTTACTCCAATTAAAGTTATTGGTCATCAAAGTCATCCGTAATACCAGAAACATTGTATTATATAGGGCTGAAAACTTAGATTTCCCGCTGTGCATTTACATTCTTAAGTTTGGCCAACTGCAGAGGTGCCATCACCAATGACGAGCCAGATTACGCTCATGCTGGTGCCATCGAAATTGATAGTGGAAATATGTGTGCTGAATGGGATATTTAAGCGCGCCTATCAAGCACGAGCACAATAAATCTTCGTCACGGGCCCAAATTGACATTTTACAGCCAAAAACCAGAAACCAAAACCACGCAGAGGACAAAGTAAGTTCCACTAGCCCGTGTTCCAGCTGCTTTTTTGCTCCTGCGGCTGCCGCTGTTTCGAAAGCCACTGATATTGTTGTCAACAATGATGGCCCAAAGCATCAGCCACATGTGTGGGAGCATCAGCCACAACTCGTCCCTTCTCAAAGTGCCCTCGCACATGGTTGGCAAAGCCAAACCTTTATTGCCACAGCTCCGTGGAGCAACAGGACCAACAGCGAAAATTTAATATCTGGCAGGGGCGTGGCTATATTGGAGCTGGTCCGTTGCCGCTGACGATCACAACTCATCGCATTACCCCTTGGCCTGGTGGCGGTTAAGCGCTCAAAATAATTGCACACTGCACCGCCAATAAGTCCGTCCGCTCGTTCGAATGCAGATGAATTCGACAGTGGTGTTCAGAAACAAAACTGCATAGAAGTTTAAAAACGTGCACCATACTTAACATATACCATTTTCATAACAAATGTTGTGCGCTGTTCTTTTTTGTTCAGTGTCTTTTTGGGGTCATCTGTCAGTACCCTAATGCAAAAAGCATAATACCTCCGGCCAGCTGTCAACACAATAAGCCAATTGCCGCGGAAGCATCAGTTCAGAGGCAACTAGACGTTTTAAAGGGAAACAAGAGGGCATGCTATGGTCGAGTTCCTCGACTATCAGATACCCATTACTCAGATAGTGGGAGTGCGAAAGAGAAAGTTCAACAACGTGTTTGGTTACTATGCTATGCCAAACATGATATCCCTATTTTTTTGCATTATACTAGGTTAATGCTATGAGATATCACGATTCCACGGTGAAAGCATACAAAATGCATGCTTTTATTTCATACGAGCTGATAGGCACGCCTGATGGATAGAAAAAGTCTCCATTTGAGTACAAACTCTGGGAATTTGGCTAATATCGATTAAATAATCTTAAGAATTTAACCAAAAAGGTGCACAACTAAACCAGAGTGATACTAACCTTTCCACGCATTCTGTCTAGATTAAAAGTCAACTTTCGTGTATTAGAGGATTCGTGGAAAGAGTACACATGAAACAAAATGTTTGAGAGGTGCATGGCATAAGTAGTAAAAGTAGTATTATTTAAAGGATACTCCATGTCATAATTAGTCTTTAAGTAATTTTAAAATCACGTTACCAGAGACTGGAGATCTTTGAATCAATCAAGCCGAGAAAACAGTGTCAAGGCATTCGTGCGAAACTATTCACAAAAAAATATGGGTTTGGTGAACATACTGATAGTAGTGGCTCTGTGTTTGGTATAATTAAAAATTCGATAATATCAAATTTAATCTGATACTAATACTCGCTGTATTCCAGCCAGTGCTGGTCAAAGCTGGTCTTCAGGAAGACCACCTACAAGAACACAATCGGCTGAGGGAGAAGCATAGAAGTCCGCCTCTCACCTTGGACAGCGATCTCTCAAAGGGATGCGAGGAATATGCTAAGGTAAGTCGATGGCTAATTACAATGTAAGGTCTTATCGCTTTCAATACCCGCGAACAGGAGCTAGCTGCTAAGGAAAAGTTAGAGCATTCAAGTAATGCCGGTCAAAAATATGGTGAAAACTTGTGCATGCGGTCAGAAAAACCTCTGCAATGTGTTCAAGACTGGTACAACGAAATCAAGTCTTACGACTTTGAAAAGGGACAATTTAGCATGCACACCGGCCATTTCACCGCCCTCGTTTGGAAAAACGCGAAGAAAATGGGTTTCGGTCAAGCCACGGACGCAAGAGGTTACTACTGGGTGGTAGCAAGATATTATCCACCAGTCAATGTGAACGGGCAGTTCAAAGAAAATGTTGTCCCTCCGGTCAAAGGGTAAGCAAAATAATTACATCGGTAGTTTTTTTAAATTGTATTCCATTACAGGAAAGATGATAGCGATGGTCAAGAAGGCCGTTATAATATGATTCAAGTTAACACCCTTATCAGTATTTTTACTATGCTTTGGGTATGCCAGCACTTCACAAATTAAGGTCCATATCTTTTATATCCATATATTGTACCGCACTGGTTGTAAATTTATAGTTCACCAATTCAACAATCAATTCATTTCGTACCTAATAATAAATTTCGGGTTTTGGAAGTAAATTGCGAAAGTTAAGTGTGTCTGTAAAAGCACTATTTTTGCCAGTGTTAGTTCTGTAAAACGAGTTTATCTAGTAGCTGCATACAATTGTAGTTCACCACGAAGATGTAAAAACATCACACGATATTTAATGTTTGAACACGACGATATCCACATTACAAAAGCACCGCCTCAATACCGCGAAGTAAATCGAAATACAACTTTTCTTAAATTGTATTATAATTCATATATTTCCATTTTACTTATCTATAGAAATCCGATTTGGAACTTCACAGCACTGGTGGGCGTGTGAGTATGTTGGGTTAATTTGAATTCGTCCGATAGGGATATTCAGTTTTTTTCACTAAGTGCGGGTTGTTCTGGCCTTTTTCTTTTCGTATTTATTTTTATCTGTTTGGCAATCAGCATCAGCCGAACTGAATTCCCCATTGACTATGCCGGTGTCAACAAAGTGGCGAGAAAGATTCAGATAGGCTCCCGCGTTTGTCTGTTTATACCCTTTCACTACTGCAGCACTCTATTCTAAAGAAGTTTTGGATTGTTTTGAAAATATTTCTAAAGTTATATAAAATATCAAAGTATTTTACTACTAACTCAAAGGCTGTGACTATTGTATCTGTTGGGTGGTAGCTACCACATAGTGGGTATCTCTGCTTCGGTGCAACCCACTAGAGCGCAATTTTATTTCAGGCTCTGTTCCCTACATGTCTGTTCCCAAGTGGAAGCCGATGTCTGGGGCCCAGCAGCTGCCGGGAGCGCATTAAATCCTTAAGCACTCATTATTATTCAATCAGATATGGAGTCGAATGTCGTTTTGTTTGGTTCTTACTTAGCCTCGCTTTCTGGCTGACTGCTCCCTGCGTGGGCCCACCTAATGACATTCAAATTGCTTCCATCTCTGGTCGGTTTCAATTGGAACACCTTTCACAAAAATTAATGGAATTATAGATCACAGCGTCTGGGGATGCATGCTCCCCAGATATATCTCTGACGTTTCGTTGAGTATTAAAAGTAATGAAAACAAATTCTAAATTCGGATTTGACAGTTTGAAATTTGTTCACTTCTTTAAGAAGATAATATGGTAAATATGGTATTTTTATGCATACCGTTAATGTGCTTGTTTTTGAGGGCTTAATAACTGTCTTCCATAGGTCCTTCATTTCGGGCACTTATAAGATGTTCCCCATTGCCACTTCATTGGGGCTTGGTTCCGACGGATCGCTGAGTTTATCAACTATTTACAACTTGAACTTGGTCGTAAAATTTATGTGCATCGTAAAGGCCGAAAGTTTGAGCAACGCACTGAGAAAATGTTGTGAAATCAAATTTACACACAAACCATCCCTAATGACCTAGCCCCCAGACAGAACGGAAACGCGGAGGCGCCGCTCCGGAAAAGGACGAAGCCAAGTCGCGGGACGTTGTGTCTCGTTGGCAGGACTTCATTTGCGGGGCTGGAAATTATTTCATTTCGCCCTCGCTTAATTATCTGCAGTGTGCCGGGTGCTTAAATTATAATGGCGCTGACCTAATTGAGTAATAATTAAAATTAAGTGCATGCTAAATTGTTATTAATTATAAAGTGCACGCAAAGATGCCACCAACTTTCATCGATAGCGTGCTGAGGGATACTTCAAGTGCACGGGCTAGTTTACTGCCACTGTCACTGTTACTGTTACTGTCACCAATCGGGGAAGTGCAGGCTCACATCTATGGTCCATCCAAAGACACTAGAATAATAAGATGCGTAACGGCCATACATTGGTTTTGCACTATGCAGCCACTGTTAGTCACAAAATATTTCAAGTAATCTCTCTTACCGGTCGAGCAGTGAGTGTAGTGTATGTGTTCTAAGGTGTGATTACTTGCAAGATCACATTGGCATTCCTCTTGAACAAATATCCAGGCAAATGCTATTCATACAAGTGTTTGAAATGTTATATTTATTTTAAAATATTTATTCATAAAAAATATTTAAAATACAATATAAAATTCTTGTTAAGAAATTGATTACCCTACACTGAAAGGGATATATATTTTTATGTTTATTCATATACAAAGTGCTACTAAATTAATCTCGAGCTGTAAGTAATTAAATAATAATCTATTATTTTGTCATAATTATATTAGTGAGTGAAATAGTGAGGTCTTTAAAGTGAGTAGTAAAAATTGTCTTAAATAAAGCCTGAGGAATGTTTAACTTACTGTTGGAGCATAGTTATTGCCGCTTTTAATATTTGTTTAGGAAACATTTTTTCTTGTAGCCCTATAATTCCCAACTAGTTCTAGTGAAGACTGTAGGGCATGTCTTCTAATTTAGAGTCGCAAAGTAGTTCAAGTAATCTCTCTTACCGGTCGAGCAGTGAGTGCAGTGTATGTGTATGTGTTCTTAAGTGTGATTACTTGCAAGATCAAATTGACATTTTATTATTCTAGTGTCTATGGTCCATCTAGACCATTTACAATATGCTCTTTTTAATAAAATAACACTGCCGGCAAAAGTTAATCAACTTTTCGCGACGAGTAATAACTGCGCCCAAAAATTAAATGCCGTACTAGCAACTAATGCAATCACACCCTCTATTCAGACTGAGAGGCTGCAGTTGTTGCAGTGACATTTCAATATAAATTATTGTCAATGGAAGTGGATAAAATGTCGCATGTAGCCGGAACATGGAAACACCGAACAACAAATAGACTGGCTGGCAGAACAAAAACAAGGGGGAACTCCACGATAGAGCGTTATTCATCGTTAAAGCAACTGAAGGCTAGAGCGATGACGACAGCGACGGCGAGATGGATGTACGGGGCGTATGCGCAATGCGATATGCAACAAATTGCTAAACAAATCAAATTTATTGCCAGAACTGCGCGCACAGCAGCATTTGCAGTACGCATGTAAAGCGTCGCCGAGATAGCAGAAATTAATATGAGTCCGCGCCCCTCGTTTGGCTATCAGCGTTGCTATAACTTCATTTGGAGCCGCCATGGTCCTGTGGTGCATGGTGCTCGGTCCTTTTGTAGCCGTTGGGCTGGACCAGCTCCTGTTTCATTCTTTCGGGTAAACTGCATTTTTGCAGGCGCAGACTGCATGCATAACAACATGGCAGTCGCTCTGACCGGAAGTCCGACTTGTGCGGCGTTAAATTTATGCCAGAATGCGGCTTCGCCGCGCTGCAGTTGCAACTCGAGCTGCAGATCCTTTTAATCCTGAAGCTGCCGTTTTCCCACATTGGTACAATGGGTTAAATGAGACGGACAAGCCGGGATAAGCTGGTGTGTACCAGTTTTTCCTTTTTAGCGATACCTCTTCAAGTCAACTTTATAACAACTGCAATAGAAAGATACGTTTATCTCTAAAGTATATAAATTTAAATCTGAAATTATTGTATTGTACAGAAATACAGAAAAAAGTTCAAAAGCAACCCAGCGCAAGCATTCAGTAATAAACGCCCGAATTGGCACCAAAAGAAGTACAGTCGCAGTAGTCGAGTGAGTCAACTATCAGATACCCATTCTCGTTCTAAAAGAAGTGCTACGAAGGCGATGGTCTTCAGGCGGCGGCACATAATTGCTCATACTTTTGTAATAAATGGTCCGATTTGAACAGTGTAGTTGTTAATGACAGGCAAACTATCCCCACAATTTTTATTAAGACAGAAATTTACAATTGCAGCTTCGAGTTTAATTTAAGCCAGAGTTCTGCCCACTGTCGTCGCTCGGGCAGTTATCCCTGCTGTTGATTTTTATTTTCTCAATTAGGAAGCTGTTTTCATTATTGTTGGGCGCTGCGTACAGTTAAACAAACTAAACATGGAGCAAACACGGCCACGCCCACTGGTAAAGGGGCGGGGGCGAGAGACACTTATTCATCAGGCGGAAGTTTGCCTGCGTCTCCCATTGTAGGTTTTGCGCCCGATGTTGCTGTTGTTGCCCAGCAGACTTGTTAGTTGTTCGTGGGTGTTTGCCGCCTCATGCAAATTGCATAAGCAACGAAGGCCCGGGAAAAAACCGGGCGAGGAGAGCAGAAAAAGATGGGCAAGGCGAAGGAGCAGAAAGTAAAAAGTAAAAAGTAAAAACCGACAAGGAAAATAGTGGCAAACAAAGTTGCTTTCGCCAAACTCCCCCGCTCACTCGTATATATTTTTTGAATTTATATTTAACTGTATTACAAGGCAGCGGGTCCCACGGCCCATCCACACACCCATTTACATGCCCATCCAAAGCCAGCCAACGGAATCGGAAGTTATAGTTATGCCGCTCGCGCGGACGCATTCTGCAAATATATTTTTGCCGGGAACAACAGCAACAAAAGTTTATTTAAAACTTTTGCGGTTAAGCTTGTTACTTGCCAGCTACTTTTCCGAACGCCCTTTGCCCCGAAATGCTAACTCGTTTAGCTCAAGAGTTCCGCCCTAGAAAATATTCGAGCTGCACTTTCCACTGCTACCAGTTTCCACAGTGGGCACCATAAACATTCTCGAGCAGCACGTGTAGCCCATCGGGGGTCATAAAAATTATACAGACTTTGGCTTTGACTTGGCCATTAATGTCAAGAGGTGTCCGACCCGGGCGCTCCTCAATCTCGTCTTAATCAGCTGGCGGATTAACCAACTTTATGCAGCTGCTTAAATTTTCAGCATTCTATTTGCTACCCCGGTGTTGGCATCATAAAAATTTTCAATTTCATTTGCCTGGCACAAAGAACAGGCGCAGCGGAGGATTCGGGGCGAATAGCAAGGAGCAGCGGCAGGAGCAGTGCAGGATGCTGCTGGCATATCGATGACGGCCACCCCTTCCCCGGCTCCTGCTCCTGGGCGATCCTCCTGCAGAGCAGGCCAGCAGGCCAGCGGGCCAGCAGTCCACCCCGGCAGACCGGGCCAATAAAAGTGTCGAAGGCTGCCTGACAAAGCGCCGGCCTGCTTTGTATTTATGATGAGCCATCCGTGCCAAAGTCCCTCGTCGTGCCAATCCCGTGCCTCCTGCGGGTCACAAAGTTCCCGCCTGGCCGAGT